GCTTTGTGGAAAAATGACAAATGCAAATTTTTTGAAAAAATGCAAATTTCCAGCTCACTAAAAAGTAGATGTATTGCTCGAGCGGTCGTTTGTCAAAAAATGCACGCTAATTTACATATAAGATTGCGGTCAAGGTCAGAACGAATTCTTGAAAATATGCAAATTTTCAATTCACTGAAAAATTGAAAGTATTGCTCGAACGGTCGTTTTTCAAAAAATCCAAGTTCATTAGCATATATAATTGCCGTTCAGGTCCGAGTTGCTAAAAGTGCACGTTCACTTGCATATACAATTGCGGTTCAGGTTGCTAACAGTTTTTGGGTTCAGGAGCTGCTTGAAGTTGTGGTTGGGGAGCTAGAGTGCTGAGTTTAAAACTTTTATCTCAAACGCGCATAGAGAACATCCCTGCAAAGTTTCAGCTTTCTACGTTGCCTGGTTCGCAAAATCGTTTCCCCCAACAGATTTCTTTGGGGGTCCCGTACGCAGGATTTAGACGCGTATGGGGAAAGATCTTAAAACGGGAGGATGACACACGGAGTAGGAACATATATCCAAATTTTCAGCCTCCCAGCTTTCCTGGTTGCTGAGATGAAAGTGGGTGACAAAATGCACTCGCTTTCCGCACACACACACACACACACACACACACACACACAGCCTCTGGACAATATGCGATTTTGCTGGCTGTAGCAGCGCTACAGCGCTGCATAGCAAAAGCGCATAAAAATGACCGCTAAACGGAAATTTTTATTTTCGTTGATGCAAATTTACGATGATTTACGGTATTGAGCGCACAACGCAGGTGTGAAGCAAAAAGCATTCATGCAGTTAACCTAATTATTTCAAGTTTGGTGCAAAAACGCGCGATCGCACCAGCAAGCCTGGTGCGTTTCAGCCTGGGTTTTTCTTTATGCAAAATTTACGGTGATTTACGCTACTGAGCGCACAAGTTAAGCGTAAATTAGCAGCCACTCATACAATTAATGAATTATTTGCTTCAAGTTTAGTGTAACCAACGCTGCAACGCACCAGGCATGCCGATAAGATCGTGCGTTTTTGCGCCAGACTTGCAGACCGCTAGCAGCAGGAATGATTCCTCAGCTGTAGCCTAACACATGGAATTATACTGGCCGTGTTTTGGCCTCTTCCGGAATGAAGGGGAAAAGGACGTCGGTTGGGATGAAGGTGTTGCATTATAGACCAGCATGATTTCCCGGCACATGAGTATCGGTTTTTGGATTAAGCCGATCATTTTTCGGGGAAATGATCGCTCTTTGAAAAAATGCAAATTTGAAGAAATTTGAAAGAAGATTGTAAAATCTGCAAAATGCACTCGCTTTTGGGTTCACGATAAAATTGAGTATTTGTCATGTCTGACTGCATGGAATTTCATCTCCAAACTGATCTAAGATCACACGTGAATACAGAATGTCCTTGAAAAGTTTCAGCTTCGCAGCTTCTCTAATAGGCGAAACAGTCACTTCGCTACAAATATGTTTGAAGCGCTCTAAGTCGTGGCGCAAGTGTAAATCGGAACTCAGTTTAGGTACACGATTTCCCACACAAATGACAAATGCTTTGACAAAATTTCAGTTACTGTATTCCGACTGGTTTTCAAGTTAGCACAGTGCCAACAGCGAACTTTAACATGGCCGTATGCGCGGTATAAGCATGCTCTATGGCTAAGTCTGGAATCTTCAGCTCGCACATGCACAGAGAATATCCCGGCAAATTTTCAGTTTTCTATCTTGTCTGGTTTGCGAAATCGCTTCCCGTAAAAGAAATATTCATATTTTTTTCGGGGTTGATGAGTTGAAAGTGGGTAACAAAGTTCAGTCGATTCTAAAACACACACACGGACGATCTCTCGACAGTATGCGTTTTTGCTCGCTGCAGCAGCGCAGCCTAAAGTTCCACTCACTCTCAATGTGTTATAATTTTGTTTCCTTGTGACCTTCCTTGCCTATGAATGCACTGTGTGTCAAACTTTTGTAATATTCCTCGAAAAAGCGCTGGGTTTCTTGGCTTAACGGCTTCTAGTTCCCTTCATGACGACTGCTGCAGCAATAGCTTAAAATTTTTTGAACCTACCGACGCAAAAGCTACAGTTTGCATAAATACCATTTGCAGCTTCACGAGCAACTAATGCTCCGCTTCACGAGCAACCCTTTTTTATTAAAAAAAACTTTTT